ATCCCAGCCCCTTGAACTTCTCTCTTAAAGGAGTTCAGTGACTTATCTGAAACTATAAAGCTAATAAGTGGCAGAATGTAAGTGATGTTGGTCTGCTAAGTGAAATACGCCAGCAAAGAGAGACATATTACATGATCTCACTCATATGTGGAATCTAAAAATGTTTATCTTATAGAAGTAGAGAATATAATAGTGGTTACCAGAGGCTAGGAGTTAAGGAGTGAGAAATGGGAAGATGCTGGTCAGAGGACACATAATTGCAGTAAGATAGAAGGAATAAATTTCAATAGATGTATTAGCAAGTTAACAAGGCAGTTAACAAGGATTTATTGTATTCTTGACAATATAGAATGAATGTTATGTCCTAAGGCAGAAAAATGATAACTATGCAAAGTAATCCATGTGGTAATTAGCTAGGTTTAACATTCAACAATGTCTTTCTATATATGTACCGCAAAACATCATGTTGTATGTGATAAAAACATACAATATTATTTGACCATTTAAAAATAATAAAATTAAAGTTTTAAAAAAGTCTTCTCCTCTTACCATAAGACCCATGGTTAGAGACAGATGCGGTGGCAGATACTCATATTCCCAGTACTTGGGAGGCTGAAACAGGAGGACTGAGAGTTGAAAGCCTACTGGAGTATATAGACGGACCCTATCTCAAAACAAACAAATAAATACACTCTGGATATATGGAACCCTGAAGGGGTCTTTACCATCAGTCAGCCACAGAGCCTGAGCCATGAACAAGGCACCTAGCAGGCCCAGACAGGAGGCAGGCAGAAAGGCAAGTATACAGGCAGATGAATATAGAAAAAAGAGTAGTCCATGCTGTAACCAGCACTGTAACCAGCTAATCACGCTACGCCAAACCAGCTCCCAGGCAATTTTCTGAGTAGCTTCAGAGAATTACCCAGCCTGAGAAGCCAGCCAATTATACCTGATCATTCTCTGCATCCCTGTCCTTACAAAAGACAAGTCCAGACTGGCCCAGTGTAGACAAATGAGCAGTTCTATTATCTCTGAAAGGCAATGTAATTTCCTTCAAATTTTAAAGTCTCCATAGTTTTCTAACAGGCCTCAGTGGGGCACATGTAGAAATTAATAAGTTCACATTGTCCCCAGCTTGCTTTTATTACTATTTTTTGTCAGGATTTTCATTATTACTCAAGGATTTTTCTGTTCTGATTCTTTAAGAAGGTCAATTCTACAGAGCTCGTACTCTGAGATGAAAACTGAGTCAAAGCTAATGGACTTGACTGAAGTCTAAGGGAAGTTTTCCTGACCCAGTGGGACAGGGACCCAAAGGCAGGGTCACAGGGACAGGGAACTCAGGGCAGGCAGAGGGAAGCCCAGGTACCATTTCTGTCCATGCAGGCTTGCTCTGGGATGCCAGGCCAGTTGCTTACTGGGTTTCAGCCGGGTGTCTCCTTTAGCAAATTAACAGGGAGGCAGGTCAGGAGAAGGAAACTCTAATTTATTACCTTCAATATATTTGAATCATTGCAACATAATCATAGACATTCTTTAAATTTTATCAATACAATGTTGAAAAGCTTATATTACTTTACACATAATGATAGGGAGGCTACTATGATCAGCTAGCTCTTTTACCATACCGGCACTAAATCGTATCATTGGAATGAATCACATATGGAACAGGGAACATGGACTCATTGTATGAATATGATTACAGATTCACACAACTTTGCTGGAAAGCAATGTAGCATGATTCAGAAAATGTTAAAATGCTTGCCCAATTAATTCCAATTCTGACAATCCATCCAAACAACAGAATCTAAAATGTGGGCTTTGGTTTAAATGAAAAGAAATGAAAATAGACAGATTGCCCATCAGTCAGAGAATGATAATCTATCGAATACCCATTAAGTACATAATCACGTAGTCATTTAATCAGCTGTAGGATAACATTAAATAAAATAGTGTATTTTCATTATTTGGTGGAAAAATAAATTAAATATTACTATAAATTAAATTGGTTTATTTTTACAGTATTATGATAAATCAATAAAATATGTATATTAAATTTAATATTAAATATGAGGTATGATTACAAGTCTTTTAAAAAGAGTAGAAAAATGACTGAAAGGAAATACAATGTAATGTTCAAAGATGCCTTCTCTGGTGGCAGGAAAACCTACACTTTGTGCTTTTTGGATACTTAATTATTTTTTCCACATTTTTTGTAATCAGTGTTTATTATTGCCATAATCAGGAGATACATCATAAAAACTATGTTATCTCCCTGAATTCTGCATTTATGTACACAATACACTTGCAATTTTTATTAAAGGAAAACCACTTGGGAGCGTATATGATTCTAAATGATATTTACCAGAGCCTATGTGTAGAACATTTTTCCTTTAAAAAGTTTTAAAGGTGGGGGTGGGGGAGATAAGAGAAACAAGATCAAGCAAAAGCAATATAGCAGGAACTGTCTTCCAAAGAGCTTATAGTTCACCTTGTGAGCTAAATAAAGACCCCAGGGAAAGGGGTGGGGAACTGACCCATAATACATGAACAGTTGATAAGGGGGGACTAAAAGCTCCAGTGATGGTGCTGGCAGATATGAGTTTTTCAATTTTATGAGAATGATAGGGATCTGAAATAAATCTTTAGTATTTTCTTTTTAAGATAAATGTTTTAAAATAAATGCCTGCAGCATGGATGAATGGCTAGTACCTGTTTCCTGTCTCAGGGCTGATCATAAATAACATTGAGAAAAAATAGCTTTGACCATTCTAAAAAGCATCTTTATTTTTTATTGTTAAAAGCTTGGAAGATTATATTTTGATGAATTAAGTTCAATTTTTTAAGGCGACTGCAAAGGCCAGGTGGAGTATAGAAATTGTCTTTAGTTGTAATAACTTCCCAGAGCTCAGCTTATAAGCAAACCATAGTTTCAAGATGTGCCTGAATGACCACGGGTACTTCCAATGGTCAGAATAAGATCCAAGTTCAAAGGCACTTGGTAGGTTTATGATTTAGGAAGTCATTTGGTAAATCTCCAGGTGAAATTTAATTGTTCTTCAGCACTAAAACCAAAACCGTTAAGTAATGTTTTGTAAATTCAAACTTTCAAATATCAGATTTGCTTAACATGTTTTTGTTCTGTTTTCCTATTCTGTTTTACATGTTATAGAGCTTGTAACTTTACTATAGACTGTAGTTTTCCTGCTCACTATTGACTAAGAACAGGGCTACATGAAAGGTAGGCATATTGAATAGTCAGACACATACCTCATCTTTTAAAGTATTAGCTTCACTGAACAGAAATAACTTAATTACATCCATTCATTTCCCTTAAATTTGTCATCAGTTTACTGTATTTGAAAGAGGGTTCACACATTTGACAGAAAGTTGTATGTGAGGCCCTGCTTAATGCAAAGGCCTCTGCCCACAAGCTGTGAAAGAGGGCTTGAGGGAATTCAGAGCACATGCTTAGTCTAAAGAGGGAAGCTATGGCTTAGCTCTATATTTCTGGTCTGGTTCATCAAGATGAAGAATCCTGAGTTTTTATGTAAAAATCTCAATTTCTAAACATCATATCTATGTTTTTAAAGCACACAGTACCTATCAAATTAAACATTTCCATGACCCAACATTTTTGCTAATATTTGCTTAAATATCTCATTTCCAGAGGTTGTTCAGAAGTGTTGATTAATCCCATCAGCTCCCAGTTATGTCTAAGGGATGATTTGGAGTATTCCTAGCCTGCATAGGTTTGAGGAAGATAACTCATTTTTGTGGAAAAGATGGCATGAGATTTTTGCTTCCAACTGGCATTTTTTTGTACAGAAACTTTGAGGATATCCAGAAGATGTATGGAAATGCTCCAACTCTAAACACCATAGAAGTCACAGTCAGGTGCCCTTGGTTGTCATCATTCTACATAAAATAAAGATAAACCCTTCTTCTGAGAGTTGAGAGCATCCCCCCACGTACTGCAAGGACGCTTATGGGTTTATCTTCACATAACACTGAATTTAACCCACCCTGTCACTCCTTACTTTATAATGCTCCATAATGAAAAAAGGGCCTTCACAGAGCTTATCTCTTAAAAGTGCAAAAGAACCATTTCTTTTCTGCCCAAGTAGCTCATAATGTAGCAGACAAACTGTCAGAAGAAATAGACTTCATCATAGTGAAAACCTCTGCCTGGCACCCATCTATCATAAAGCAATCTTCTAGAAGTCTTGAAAACATTCATTAATTTTCTGTCTTTCTCCTGACAGTTATAAAATGTTAACAGTGTTACTCATGATGCAGGCATCTTCAGAAATTCTCTGTCCAATCCCTCCTATGCTTGCCTTCACCCAGCCTCTTGTCTTTGCCATATCTATGAAAACACGTGACGTAGCAGTATGCTGCACATACAGCTTCTGGGACATGGCCCTTGCAGGAAGTCAGGGGAAAAAGCAGTGGCTGTCTTGATGACAGTGAGAAAGTTCTGTAGTCACAGATGCGGAGGACAAACTTGTTCTGTCTTCTGCTTGCCTCTCCAAAAGCCCTACCCACATGTAAGCTCCAGGGCATGACCCTTACTCTTAGCAAATATTTCCTCATTGTTTTTATTTCCCTTTCATTTTTGCCAATCTACCAAGTTATAAGTATACACCTATACATGATATGTAGGTGGGGGGACAGTGGATCACACATTATATCATATCTATGGATCATCTATCTAGAGAAGAAATGGCCCCGGTGGCTTTACTAGTCCAAGCTTTCCAACTCCAAGGGCCACTTCAGAAAGGGCACTTTCAGAAAAACAAGAAACAAGGGGTCCTGTATTGGAGGCACCCTGATGGATAAAGGCCACAGGGAGATACAGAATCCACACCCAAAATAAGAAAAGGCTCACAGCATTTAATTCATAGGCTGACCTAAGACATACACAAGTGGTGACAATAGCTATAATGCCCTAGTCTGGGCTTTGTGAGTCTCCAAAGTGAGTCAAGCCTTCATCCTACCTGCAAAAGGAACCGGTGCATCTTTATCCAATGCTACGAGTGGTGGGTCCAAAATGACTGTGTCATTGTTCTCAGTTATGACTCCATGATACGAAGTTTCAATCCATGGCTTGTGCTTGTTGACTACAAAACAACAGAAAAAAAGAACAACATGTAAATAACTAACCTCTAATAGTATTATTAATATCGAACATTTTCCCAGTCACAGGCTCTCTCATCCAACAACCCTAGAGCATATTAACCCATTTAATAACCTGAGAAACTTCAAAGACTTGCAGAGAGAGGCCAACAACTCACTGCAAGCATACATAAGGTAAGGGGTAGTACAAAGATGAAAACATGATTTTTGTCTCTAAGACCATAGGTCTTTCACCTCACCAAAATCCTGTTATTTCTATTTCTGGACACCCAATGTAGATAGATATTGTTAAACTGGTTATAAATTTAAATTTTCAAACGTTACTATCTATGAATGGATATTTTAGAATTAAAGTTCATTACCAATCAAAAAACTAGAAGGTATGGCTATGTGTGCTGGGATTTCTGAACTTCATCTAATTGGATACCTCCTTAGGAGCTGTCACTGCATTTTATACACATGCATACATAAATATATGAATAAACACCAATATGTATGTAAGTTTGCAACAAACACTTGAATATTTTCTGGTCATTTGAAGATTACCTAAATGGTCTAAATTACCTGCAACTTTACTGTTCAATAATTGACTAGCTGAATGCTGTATCATCTAATGATCAATTAATATACTTAAAACAATTCCAACATATGTTACAGGTTGAATTATGTCTGCCCATATTGGGAGCCATCCTACAGAATTTTGGGGAAAAATCATTTCACGATTAAATTATGATTAAGCCTAGTCTTCTTGCCTACAGGCCAGCTATGACATGTCAAAACATAACTCTGTTTTTGCCTCCAGTCACAGCTGAGACCTCAATGGTTCCATGATGCTGTGACACACAAGGGAAAAATTACATTAGCTAAAGACATCCTGGTTCTCTGAGAACCATGTAGTGAGAGAAAGGTTTCACCTTGGGAGGGACAAATTCCTTATCAGCTTAACTCATCCCACCTGCTGTTTTAAGAACATCTTTGCTCATCTTATTGTCATAATCAAAATAAGCTTCTCATAGACCTAAGATCCTCATCAGCATAAGGTCCTCAGCAGCATAGGATTACCACTGGCCTCTGACACATCTGATACTCCCTCTGATTGATAAGATCTTTGTCAATTTAGGATTATCGCCACCCCCTGAGTCATCTGTTACTTCTTATGAACCCAATAAATAGTGGTAAGCTCATGGTACCTTGTCTTTGCTGCCCAGAGCAGTACTGATCAGGCCCAGAACGCAGCTTCTTCTCTAAGTCTCATTTCCTGTCTTTATTCTTTAATTTTCCTTGTGCTGTCATGTCTCACAGGAGACTAGGACCCACTGCAAGGTTCTGGTAACATCTCCTCTCCCTGTTCCCTACATGCTCCTAAAGAATATACATTGGAATAGAACCTCAGGACTTCAGAATTTGACTGTGTTCAGAGATAGAGTCTTCACAGAGATAATCAAGTTAAAATGAGGCCTTGAATAGGCCCCCATCAAACATGACTGATATTCTTATGAAAATGGGAAATCTGGACACAAGAGACAGATAGGCACACAGGAAGAACACTATAAGAAGAGTGGAGTGGTGCTGCCACAAGCCATGAAACTACCAGGAGTTGGGCCAGGAGCTCAGAACAGATCCTCCCCTAGAATATTCAGAGTATGGACCTACACAACACCTTGATTTTAGACTTTAGCCCTTTGGAAGCGTAAAGCCATACATTTCTGTTTTTCTAAGACACTCAATTTATAGTGCTTTTAATGATTGCCCTATCGAATGAGTATACTATGCTTATAGCCAACAGGTACTCATCATGGGTAGATAATTGAAATAAGACTTGTATCAGGATTTGGAGTAATTTTCCTTTATGGGTATCATATCCGTTCACATCCATTTTCTTCCCATTCTGTCTCCTTGGTATGTTTCATCTGATTTTGTTCTAGCCCAAGTGAGCCCTCTCTGGATTGCTGCAGTGGCCTTCTGTCTGGTCTCCCAGTTGGAAGTCTTAGCCCCTTTCAGTCCATATTCCCCGCTAATATCAAGAGTAATCTTTCTAAAATATTAATCTGAATACTCAACTAGTGAGTTTCTTGGTCTCTCTTTTTAATCCCCCTACATCCTCACAGAAGTGTAAGTGCAGAGTAGATGCTTTACAAATAAAGTAACATGTTCAAGGAAGCCCCTAAAATAATTCAAGTTGTCCTAGTGCCAACCCCCACCCTGTGTCTCACAGTTTCAAAGATGTGGCTCCATATGTAATCTCCCCCAGCAACCTGTGGGGTAGGTGTGATCATTACAAAATGATGAGGAAACTACTTCCATGAGGTGTGACTTCCCAAGACCATTACATGTTTAGTAATGCCTAGGAAAACTAAAACTTCATATTTCAAGATATCCAAAACATATACAAAAATACACACACCATACATACATATTGCGGTATAGATAACACTGTATATATCGTATTACAAAGTTTTCAACAGCAAGGGCAAGGTAGGAGCTTATAGAACTGGCAGCAGCTCTGTTGCAGAAGCTACTGTCCTGTCCCTTCCCATTACCCTTCAAAAGGCCAGTTAGGAGCTTATCCCAAGATTATTGGTAACCTCAACTCGGGCTCTCTTCCATCTCCTTCTAACCCATTCCCCAGCAATCACAAACAGACTGAGTGGCAGTCTGATGGGTCAGGGACATATCTCGGCCCCTGAAACCCATTTTTGCTGGTTGAAACAGGCCCAGGATGGACAGCAGTTCTGCCCACTGCAGGTGTGCATGGGGCAACAGTTTCATCCATTCTTGAATTTTGGCATTCAGACTGGTGCTTCATTATGGACCCTGGAAGAATTACAGCCACTCTGGGCTGTCCCCACACCCCTTTGCTCTTTTGTTAGCCATCAACACAAATGCAATGTAAATAATTTGCAGCTGTTGGGAGAAACAATTAATCTCTTTTCCCTGTAATTAAACCTAGGGGCCTATTCATTAGAAATGTGTACAGAGCATATGCCAAGAGCTAGCCCAGAGGTTCAGATTCATTGTACATGAACTCAGAGATACCATTCTTGCTTTTAGCCTTGGCTTAGCTGTTTCTAGCTGGTTCTATGTGAGCTGAGGCAGCCTCTCAGAGTTTCAAGTCCCTTAATTATAAATAGAGGTAATGACATTACTCACATGTCTGTCCAGTCACTCAGATGTCTTGTGCTGGACCCACAGCCTTTGCCCTTTCATTACTTAGACTCAGCACTCGCCACTGAGCAATGACAATATCTGCTGGAAAGATCATTTTTGGACAGCCTTAAAGTGGAGGCTGCACCCTCATCAGTGGAGGAGGGTTGATTTCCTTATATCCATAGGCCTGCCACCCTTTACTTCTCTTGCTGCTATGGTTAGTTGAGCATCTATTGCATATAAAGTATTTTATATACACAGATGCATTAATCCTTACAGTAATCCCATTAGATAAGACTTTAAATCTCATTTTGCAATTAAGAACTTGAGGTTCAAAGGAGATTCAATGTTCTTGTTTTGGAAAATAAGAATGCTAACATCCTTAAAATTTTCTTACTTCTCTTCTACATTCCCTCAGACCTACCTGGACTTTTGCTTTGTCAAGGTTGAGAAACATTTGTATTTTGATGTGTAAACAAAATTAACTCTATGCTTTGTTTATAGGCCAAATCCTCAGCTTTGCAAACTGATAAGGTAAACATATATTACTTTGACTGTGAGGGGATTGTCCATGGCTGAGCCATGTATTGTACAAGGATTACATTTTCTTCTCAGTGGTTCAGTGGTCCTTCCAAGCACAGATTCCTTGGATCCAGAGCTATTGGATTCTTTATTTTGTTTTGGGTTTTTTTTGGTATCGGGAATCACCATTGGATTCTTTAGTCTTTCAGTCCACCAAATGTCTGAGTCACACTCCATTTTGGCCAGAATCATACTTGGAAGCAGCCTCCTTTGTATACCTTTCTGTTTTCTGAACTTAATGATGGCCTTTTTAAAAATTGAATAATGAAACACAGGATTTCTCCACAGCTCAACTGTATTTTAGCTTTTTAATCATTCTATCTAGTACTCATTTTGCATTTGTAAAATGGGGATATTTATTTCTCATGACTCTGTAACAATCACAGGAATTAACATAGGCAAATCTAGGACCTTGTGCAGAATATACATTCAAATACTCTCTTTTTTTTTTTTTTTTGGTACCAGGGATCGAACTCTGGTCCTTGTGCTTGTGAGGCAGGCAGCAGAACCACTGAGCTAAATCCCCAGCCCTTGTATTCAAACACTCTTATGCCACCTTATCCCATTCCATGCTGTTGAGTGCCTGAGGAGTAGCCTCACAGCACCATCCATTCCACGGCTATTTATGTAACATCTAAATGCATAGAAAATACTATTCTAAGCATTGAGGTAAAATGAAGGGTGAAGGCCTTTGAAAAACAGCATTTGACAAAATTCAGTATTCACTTTTAATTAAAACCATTAGGAAATGAGTAGTATAAGGGAATTACTCAATCTGGTTAAAAAAAACTTTATAAAGATATCATACATAAAGGTAAGAAAGTGAATGCATTTTCCCTTAAGAGCAAGAAGAATCCAAGGGTGCCCACTCCCACCACTTCTACTCTCATTGTTCTGGAATATCTACTTAATGCAATAAAGCAGAAAAAATGTTGGTTTGGAAAGGAAAAACTAAAATTGTTCTTTATTCATAGAGAACATGATAATTTTTAAAATATTATAGAACAAAAATGCTGGTAGAACTTATAAGAACATTTAAGAAGATCACAGAATGGAAAATAAATGTATAAATTCAATGATGTGTCTATTACTAGCAATGAACAATTTAAAATTTAAATTAAAATACTATTACATAGCATTAAAAACTATGGCATACTTAATGAGGACTTTCACAAATGGCATGCAAGATCTGTACATTGAAAAGTTCAAGACACTCTGAAAGAACTTAAAGACTTGAGAAGTCTTCAGGAAAAGA